AAAATTAGGAAATATGATCTCTAAGAATATTGAAAGTCACTAGGAAGTTACAAAATCACAAGCCAAGATCTTAGTTGTGTTAACAGCACACAAAACAAGTACAGACAGAAGCTCACAATACATTCTTGCAGCCTCTTACTCCCCTTCTCGCGAAGGTCAAAATTTCAAAGATGATACATACCTTGCCATATGGGAAGACAAGGATTCATTACAAGGTATCCTAGAAGAACTAAAGCATGGTGAGAAGCCCTGCATGCATAATCATACGAAGCCTAGTTGAAAATGGATTAGGTCAATGGTTAATGTATTATAATCTAAGTCGACCACAAGTGATTGTAAATGAAGACCTATTCACTATATTTAAAATCTACAGACGACAACACTAGATTTGAAAGAAAGAGGTGACAACTGGAGATCATGTGTCTTGTATAAATCTCACACTTATCTACAGGGGGGCTTACGTGCTTGTAAGCAGTAGACTTACTGTCTTGTCCAAACTACAGGTCCTCCATTACAATCCCAAATCAATTAACATAGGTTTTGGCCATGTGCATATAAGCCTCTTGGGCACACTCCCCTTGCAAGGCGGTTTTCAAGAGTTAGTTCTACCCAAGGGTTCGTATCATTTGATATCAGAGCTAGCCACCACGTTGAGTATGTGATCGGACGAATGGGATCGAATGAGTGAATATTTGTGGTTCGAACCACGGGGGGGCAACCTATAGGCTGGATTAAGATACCCAAAAAGGTGTTGAATACTGATAGTTGAGTGAAACTGCCAGAAAGGAAAGGGAAGGGAAAGGGCTACCACCGGTTAAACGTCGATAGATTGCCCATCGTGGAAGTCAGTTGCGAAGCATGGTGGTATGTTACAATCCCACGTCAATTAACATAGGATTTGGCCATGTGCATATAAACTTCTTTCTCAGGCACCCTCCCTTGCAAGCCGATTTTCAAGAGTAAGTTCTTCCCAAGGGGTTCATATTATCCTCACAGTGCTAGCCCAGCTGTTTGACCCGTGTCTTATTTTAGTGATTAATAAAATTAATGTCAACAATACAAAAGTGTCAATTTTGTGGGTCAAAACACAATTAATAGAATGATCAAACTTCTATTTGGGCTTAAAGTTTAACTTCATAAAGTGGTAGGGAGGAAAGCATAATTATCAAAAGGTATTGCACGTTTTTCCAGGTGTTCATTTTGTGTGCTGGCCTTGTAGCTTGACCTATTAGACTATAGAGCTATATATGTATATAGTAAAATAGGATACATATTTTTATGGTATTTTGTTTAGATTTTAGAAGAGAGAAAAATAAATAAAAAATAATAGATAACTCTCTCATGAAGTTAGATAGAAGAAAAAAGAAAGGAATTGGAAACCAAGATGGAGAAGAGGAAAAGAGCAAATGGAGCAGGAAAATTGGGAAACTATCTATAGGTAATAAATTCTGGTGTTAAAATTTCTTTCATTGAACTCAATTGCTATTTATTTTGTATTCATTTGGGTATCAAGTACTATCATTAGATATTCATTTGGGTAACAAGTGCCATCATTAGATGTTCAATGAAATATGATTTCATAATACTCTATCTTTATAAGTCAAAAACCAGTACTTTGAGATGGGTATTAATACAAATTACTTTGATAAACAATTCTTTGAGCTGAAACTATTCTTCTCTCTGATGAAATTATTTGTAATTTTTTATTCCTTTAAGAGAAGCATGTAATGACAAAACTCTGTACCAAATATTTCTTAGGAATTATTTCAACTGAATTTTAGTGCTAAAAGGAGGTTGAGTTGTGATTGAGGTAGAAATTTCATGGTTAGATTGGGGTTGAAGCATGTTATCTGCTGAAATGAAAATCTACGTGCTGAAATTAACATTTAAAGCTTAAACAATGTTATTACGTGCTGAATTTCTTATTTAAAAATGTCAAAAGTTACTTGGAAGTTAAGCACTACGATTGTAATTGCTGAATTTGATATTTAAGTGATAAAATTCATGTTTAAAAAAATTATTACCATGCCTTGTATTTGCTAAAAAATTGGATTTATTTGCTGAATTAACTTATTTAGGCGCTAAATTAGCATCTAGAAGATAAAATAGGAAACCTAGGCGTGGGCATGTCTTAGTGAATCAGTGTTGTCAGTGTTGTGCTAATGCGGAGTCAGTGGATCATTTGTTTTTGCATTGTCCAGTGGCTTCGCGGCTATGGGATTTTATTTTCTCTCTCTTTGGGATTGTTTGGGTTCAGTCCCAAGGGGTGTTGGCTATGCTGTGGGCTTGGCGAGGTGCTCGGATTGGTCGTCAGAGGCGGCGGGTGTGGCTGTTGGTGCCGTCTTGCTTGATGTGGCTTGTATGGTTGGAGCGAAACAGCCGAACCTTTCAAGAGGTTCATCATGGTGTTCCTTGGTTAGAGACTCAGCTTCTTGGTGTTTTGTATAGTTGGTTGAAGCGATCAGTTCATTCAGATTTGTTTGTTTTTCTAGATTTTCTAGATGATATAATTGGGTAGTGCTTGGTTTTAGGGTTTCCTTTGTGGGTTGCTGCGTTGTATTCTTTGCATCATCTTGATACCTTTTCTAATAAATCCTTTATTTATCCGAAAAAAAAAAAAGAAAAGGAAATCTAGTTGCTGAAAGTGAACATCAAATGCTGAAGTTCATATTTAAGAGCTAAACTATTGATTTTATTTTTATATATAATTAAATACATTCTAAATATGGCATCCTCTTGAGATTATGGTCAAGAAAAGGGATTAGAATGGATCAGGATTGGAATTAGCATTATCATGCATTTTTATAAGTATTTATAGGCAATATCTTAGGACTTGATACACACGCTGTTTTCATCACTCCATCTACCTTCTCTTTTGTCACAAAAACCCTAACTTTTCTACCTCTCAAATTGAACCCTCCTTCTCAAATATAACACTCGGATCTGATTGAGAAGGGCTCAATTTAACCCAAATCCCCTACCCGTGTCATGTCGACATGGATACTCCCTCCAAAACAATCGAATTCATGTAACACAAACTGATTAAGTGTATACAAATGATGCACATTTTCGTATGGCATCAATTGGCATTTTTTTGTGTTATGACATTACACGTGGAGTCTATATTGGAATTAATATTGTAAAATCATGAACCAAGGGTAAAATATACATTCACCCATTGATGTGCATTGGCCCTTCCCATTTGTCCATTTTATTTATTTAAAAAAAGGAAAGAAATTCATACTCTATCAATTTTACATTCATTATTCTTGATGAAGAAGAAACTCAATGGATGCTAAATCCAGAGTCTTAGAATGAAATGTTCCACCTTGGTTTCAAACGTTCCATGTTTTGAATTGTACCCTTCAAAATTAGTTGAATTTGTTACAAGGAGGAGGAAACTAAAGATTGTATATCCATAGAAAAAGATGAAGAAAGTAAAGAAAATGGCATTGGTTGCATAAAAAATAAAGATATAGCAAATTCCTAGTTTCCCATAATATAATTCAAGCATGATTAAGAAGAAGCAACAATATAAGTGATATTAGCAACCCTGCTTTTGCCTCTTTCTCTTTAATTAAGAAGATCATTCTATTGCCCTCTTTTGAAATCACTCAAAGAACACAACCATGTTGCTAATCCACTCCAACAATCCTTTCAAGAAATTATGCCTAACTCTATTTACGCCAAATATATTCAAAAATGCCCATAAATATAGAACGGAAAGTACACATCCTTTCAAGAAATTATGCCTAACCCTCTTTTGACGTGATTAACTTCTTCTATATTAGCTTCACCAAAAAAGTACACATACTTAAAGTTGCCCAATTGCTAGAAATCAGGTTGCCCAATATCAAAACTTCGTCAATTACTACCAACCACACAAAGAGAAACACTTTAGAACCTTTTTTGTTCCAATAGCCACATTCCTTCACCCCACCTGTACCAGATCAGGACAACATAAAAGATCCACACAAAACTACCCCCACCTGTACCAGATCAGGGCAACAAAAACGATCCACACAAAAGTACCCCCATATTGTGAAAGTAAGTAAACAAGAATGAAGACAACAAAATCACCTCATTGTGATTCCCAAGTGTTCAAAGACCATAACTTTCTCTGAACAAGACCTTTAATAAACTTGATGGAGTTGACACATTGTAGGAGCAAACAGATAGCTAAGTAAAGATTACTAAAGGTATTTCCAACTGGACTTCATTAAATAATATCACAAATTTCAAATTACAAATCTTTGTGAAGATACCGTGATGAGAATAATATCTTTCCATAAGAATGACCAACAATAACAACAAAATTAACCACAAGAACAAATTCATACTCCACTAATAGTATTACTGTATTACTCATGTAAGACACTATGGACAATAGAATGTTTCTAGTTGATCAGAATTCCATTACATTAAACTCAACCCCAATCATTTGAGTGTACAAAGCAACCAAAATAGTGGACTTAAAATCCACAAACCCTATTTCAAATTCTATTTAATTCAAAAATCATATTTTTACAGTAAGATTGTTTTTTAATGTAGATAACATGGGAAAGACTATGGACACCTTATAACTGCAGAATACTTTTTGAGTCATAACAAAAAAAAAAAAAGTCATAACCAACCATCTCAAAATAATGTCATCACGCAAGTAGAAAACTAGTCATAACTAAAGAAGAAAATGGCATAACTAAAGGTGCATATGATAACGGGTGCGTATTGTAGAATTCTCCAGATAACATAAAATTGCAACCTCAAGAATTTTCAGGAAAGGAATTGAATTAACTGCCAGAGCAGAAAGTTCTACTGAAAATCCAACAATCCTTCAAACAAAGACATTCATCATACAAACCAGTCCTCTTGTCTTCAAATTTCCTTCTCAAACCGGTTTGTACAGAGATACCAAACTCATAATCAACCAAATTACAAATTGACATTAAAATTCAAAGAAAACAAAGCTGAATACTAAAGAAATGAAAGTATAATCAAACCTGAATACTGAAATCACCATCGAGCGAGACGTTGTGAGACTCCTCAGGAACGAAATCGTCACCGCCTTGACCTTCGAGCATCATCTGACGTTCCCTCAGATCAAGATCGGAGGCCAGAGCAGCCAAATCAAATTCCGAGAAGAAGGGACCCTGTAACACCGTGTTCACGCAATGCACAGCACAAAGCTTCGATTCTTGTACCTCGTGATACAACATTCCTCCATTGCTAGGACCTTCCATTTCCTTTTTCTCTCAAAAACTCTCTTTCTCTCTCTAGAAGAAGAACCTCCAAACCCTAGAATCTGTCTGTCCGTCTCTTTCTGGACGAAGTGTGTTTAGCTTCAGCCTTTGGTGAAGAGAAGATGAAGAGCGATTAAAAAAACTTTCTTTTTTCTTTTTGTTGTGCATTTAATTTTTCAAAAGTTATTAAGGTAAATTATAAATGGACCTATTGTTTAAAGTACCAATCCGTTTGGTTTGAATTTACGGGATTTATTTTTTAGAAAATTAAATTTTTTTATTTTTATTAATTTTTTTAATATTTTAAATAATATTTTTAAATTTTAAGATATATCTAATATAAATATACTTAAAAAGTATAATATTTATAAAAAAAAATAGAAAATTCACTAAGTATCAAAAATATAAAAATAAAATTAAAAAATAAGTTACATTTTTTATATTCTTGTGTGTTTATTAATTTTTTAAATATTTTTTTATAACACATTTTACTTTTTAAATATATTTAAATAAGGTGCATCTAAAAAAAAATATTACTTAAAATTTTAAAAATATTCACTAAAAACAAAAAAAATAAAAAAATAAAAAAAAATCGAAAAAACTCAATTTTCAGAAAATGAAATGCAAAAAATTGAAACAAAACACATTGAATTGTATCTATAATTTAAAAATTATATTGTATCTCTTTAAGTTTTTAATTGCATAATAAATGATATTCTGTATTAATAAATTATCAAGTTAATCAATTATTTTTAATAAAATTTATAAATATGTTTTAATTAATAATTTAGATAATTTTATTGTTGAATAGAATAATAGTTAGAAATTTTATTTTTTCTATTAATCTTATTAAATAAAAAAATATGCTAAAAAAGTATTTATAGTTTCTAAAATCATATAGAACAATCTGTATTTTAAGTAAATCTCAAAAAGTATATTTACAATTTGGTAATTTATACTAACACCCCCTGAGATTTCTATTTAATAGAGATCCCCTCACATTTGAAAATTACACTTATCTCCCTGTCAAATTAAAATGACATATTTGTCCCTTAACTTTTATGTATATAAAATAATAAAATAATATAGATATTTTATTCATATCATTTCAAAAAAAGTAACAAATTTTCTTTGGTTTAACTCGGACAAAAAATTGAGTTTTTAATTTTTCGTATTTTGTTTATTTTTACTAAATTTTTTTAATATTTTAAGCAATTTTTTTTTATCTTTTAAATACACCTAATCTAGATATACTTAAGAAGTATAATATTTTGTGATTTTTTTTTTAAATTCACCAAATACAAATAATTTAAAAAATACAAAAATTCAATACATTATCTTATCTTGTTATATTCAATAATTTAAAAAAAAAAAAAATTGGTACAAATTTTGTACTTTTTTAATATATCTAAATTAAATTGATTTAATCTAGATATAATGTTAGAAATAAAAATAAAAATTCATATATACAAATTTATACAAAAAATATCATAAAAATATTGTGATAGTGACATTGTTGTAAATATAAATCATATTTATGGGTATTTTATTTTAAAGTGAAAGGTTATTAAGGTATATCATTGTGTTTGAAAATTTTATATATAATTTGTGTCTGTATATCATCCCTCAATAAGAATATATTCAAATAAAATTTAATGATAGAAAGTTATAGAACGCAATCATGATGATATGAATAAAAAATTGTAGAAAAAAAGATAAAATGGTCATTTATAAAATTTTAGGACATGACATCGGTAATATAGAAGATAATTTGTAATGAGATTATAAACCTTAGGGCAGGGGGGTCAATGTAATTTTTCAAATGTAAGAAAAGAATCTGTAATAAACAAAAACATCAAGAGTGTCAATGTAATTTACCTTTTATAATTTATTCGAGTTATTAATAGTATGTTATTATATCCTTAATTTTATATGAATATTTTTTAATATTTTACTATGAAAAATTATATTAATGTCCGTTTATTTGTTTAATAAAGGCGAAAAAATAAAAATAACTGCACAATTCTTAAGAGGCATTATTGTAATACATTTAATAATTAATACAAAAAAATTAAACACAAAATAAAATACAGAATACACGTAAATAATAAAAAACTTATTAATAAAATTCACTTTTAAAATAATCTATATTTACAAAAGTAAGCAAGCATAACATGGTCCATCATATTATTCTTTTGTTATTTATTAATTTATAATTTTATTTAATGGATATTTTGATGTTGTGTTTTAATGGTGTGAAATAGTTCTGAGTTAGCATGTGAAGATGAGTTTCAAAAAAAAAAAAGACTAAGGTCTTGTTTGGTTGTATTTCTCAAAAAATTTTGGAAAAAATTCTTTACAAATAAGTTTTTAAAAATAATCAAACCAAACAAATTTTTTCAAATTTTTTTTCCAAAACTTGCTTGGTTTACAAATTTTCCAAACAAATCTCTCTCTCATACACATCAAATCAATCACTTTTTTCAAAACTCTCTCTCAAAATAATTTTTCAAAACATCTTTTGAAAAAAAACCAAACCAAACAAATTTTCGTACTTTTTATCTCAAAACATGTTTAAGCAGGAGAAGTCGGATGACTATGTGGTGACCAAGAAGGAGTCGTATACTGTTAAGGAGTTTATGGAAGTGGCATTTGGGTCTGTTGGGTTGAATTGGTGAGACAATGTTGTGATTGATAAGAGGTATTTTAGGACCAATGAGATTGATAATTTGAAGGGCGATGCGAACAAGGCCAAGAAGGTTCTAGTTTAGAAGCCTAAGGTTGGCTAAGAGAGGTAAAGTACTTGTTGATGATGGGTTTATAGATGCTCAGTAACAGCCTTGATTCAGCCATTTTGTCTTTTTTTTTTATTCTCTAAATTATGGTTCAATTTTGTTTTTAGTGTTTTGAATTTTTGTTTTTATAGCTATGTTCCAGGGATAATATAATTTGATTACAATGTGCGTACTGTTGTTAAATTTAAACTTTTGATGTTAATGGGTTGTTTGATTGTCTTCAACCCTCATTCATTTGATATGAATGGATATGGAGCCTGGCCCAGCTCTGGATCTGGCAGGTAAAAAAAAATCCGAAAGTGATTCATAATTCAATAATTATCGTATGTATTTGAACAAAGTCAGAGAAATTTATAAACATAGTTAGAAAAATTTCTATTTCTCTACATTTCTCTGATTTGAATTCAAAAAAATTTCAATTTTCTCTGGCAGTATGAATTTTCTCTAGTTGTGATCACCAAAGTGTATTGCACATCGTGATTGGAAAGGCAGAGAAATTTTTTAGTTTGAACCCAGAGAAATTATTGTAAAAATCAGAGAAATTCTCTGAATTGAATTTTCTTTAGATATTCTCTAAGAAGTGTAGAGAAATTATCTGGATCGATGTTGAAGGAACATTATGAAAATATTGAATGTCTTTTATATTATAAAATCTTAATATTAGGACTCTAAAAAAATTCCCATTGAATTATGTGTTTGATTATGATTTTAGTATGGAGTTGTGTTTTGAGTTTAAAATATTAAAATTAAAATATTTATAAAATAAAATAAAATATTTAAAATAAAAAAAAAATTAAATAAAACTTATAACTATTTTCTTCATTTTTTGTTTATGTAATATTTCTCCAAAATGAATTACACAACAAAAATTAACATTGTAATGCAATTATGAAGTATTCATATAGGATTGGTGGAAGCACATGCCTCATTTTTAATGCACGAAACGAGGACCTAGATAGGCACTTTTGATCACATATGTCAATCCAAAAACAGTACAATTTCTTCCAAGAAAGAAGCGGAATGCTGTTTGAATCTGGGCATCTGTTTCATAGCAACCCATGAGAGCGAGAGAGAGAGAGAGACCAAGTCTAATCCAAATAACCCAAAATCTGTGGCCAAAAAAGAAGCCAAAAGTTCCAAGTCTCTCTTTCATACATACGGGTAAAGAAATAAAAGAGAAAAGGAATAGATAATGTCAATTTTCTATGATTACAACACAACATAATACCACTGTCTAACTTCTCTCGCCCTATAATGACTAATACTAATTTCAATGTCTTTTTTAAATACAAAATTGAATCAATGAACATGAGCTTTCAGACAAGTAGATCATAGTGGTTCTTACCACTATACACAAGCCTCACAACTTTCCTTGATTTTCCTTTTCTTGAACCCTTACGAAACTCAGTTCCATACTCTGCAATGGGAATAAAACCAGAGCCCCATCCACCTTTTGTATGCTGCAATTTGATACAAACTGTAGATTGTTAGGCTGAAACAGTAAAACTAATCAGTCACCAAAAGCAAGAATGAATTACTATGTGAGCACAACTTTTGTTATATTTATTTTTTTTTTTTTTAAATGATAGAAGGTTAAGAGCAATGCTATAGACCACTAATTTGCCATCACTAATCCCACCATTAGTGAGGTGGCAATTGAAAAAAAAACAAAAAACAAGGCATAAACACAGTGGGTGGGACCCACTGTCACATCTGGGTCCCACCCACTGCCATTATGCCGTGCTTTTTTTTTTTTTTCAATTGTCACCTCACTAGTGGTGGAATTAGAGATGGCAAATTAGTGATCTATAGCATTGCTCAAGGTTAATTTAGCCATGACATTTCACTGCAATGCTCACTAAGCTAAGGCCACATTCCAATCCTCAGTGCACAAGTCAGACGAAGAAATCTAGAAAAAAGCCTCTCTCCAAAAGCCCAATGTGGAACCGCTGCACCTATGGATCCCATCCATCTAGCATACTATGTTCTATTGATCCAAAGAAAGAAGAAATTCCACATAATGTTTAATGCACTTGATGGTCACGAGAACTGCTTATCTTCCAAATCCAGAATTATGACAGCTTACAGTCCCTTATCAAAATCATTTGCAATTCAGCATAATGAATACCACTCCGGAAATCAAGTCCATCAACACATCTAATTTTTCCTTTTTTTCCCTTTTTTTTTTTTTTTTTGGTTGTTGATATGTAGGTAATGGATTTAATCTTCCCAGCAATGCATTTAAAGAGTTCCAATGACTAATTAATCATGTATGAGATGCACATGTAATGAACAAAATATGTCAATTAAATATATATTTTCAATGCTAACATCCCAACATAGTAATATGTAACTAAGAGCCCAGACTAAACAAAAATACAGCTAAAGCTATTTATTTCTCAACTTTTTGCTGATTTACAAGTATCAACATGAAATAATTGTTCATAATCAAAATACCTCGTGTTCTGGTATGTATACAATGATCGGCTGGCAACACAACTTTGATAGCACCTAGTGGAGAATATGATCATTGGTCAGCATATAGAATTAGAAAAATCAAGAACATACACGGTGAACTCAACAATCTAGGTATTGTCACATGTGATGCACAAAATACCTACATGTAAGAATAGAAGCCATTTCCTTCCTTACCTTTTGGGTTCTTTTTAAGGGGAAGTGTGACATTTAAGAACTTTGTCCTACTTTTTTTGGTCTACTCCAATGGCAAAGAACATGAGACATGAAACAGATATATACATGCCAATTAAAGATTAGAAAGGTTCAATGCACTTTCAGATAAATCAGCGAAGGATATTTGAAGGACACTCAAATTTAGTGACCAGTTGATTTGAGTTAATACACAATTTCGGTTCACTAGAATTCAACTGCCATAATATTTCTCATTCCTCATGCACACCCACTTTTAAGGTTCAATATACACTGCTTTCATATTGATATGTGTTTGGTTTCAATTTTCTGGAAATTAAATTTTTTATTTTTTGTATTTTTTTATTTTTAGTGAATATTTTTTAAATTTTAAGCAATTTTTAAAAATTTTTAGATACACCTTACTTAGATGTATCTAAAGAGTAAAATATTTGTAAAAAAATATTTTAAAAAATCAATAAATACACAAAAATACAGAATATGTATTGAATTCTCAATTTTATTTATTTATTTATTTTTAATATTTAGTGAATTTTCTAAATATTTTTTTCACAAATATTATACTTTTTAAGTGTATTTATGTTAGGTGTAACTAAAAGTTAAAAAAATTTCTTAGAATATTAAAAAAATTCAGTAAAAATAAAAAAACACGAAAAACAAGAAATTTCAATTTTTCTAGAAAAGTGAATCCTGAAAATCCAAACCAAACGATATCTTCTTTTCACATTGTGTTGTATTCCACTTATTAGTTATATTATAAATTATCCTCTCCATTTTATGTTCAAAGACTGGTGAGCTTTAAGAAACAGGGAGGCAACCTAGATCTTGGAGGAGTAGAAGGCATTCAACAGATTGTAGAAGAAGAATTGCCACACTGAACACATAGAAGTGAAGAAAGAAGGGAGACCTACAAGAGAGAAGTGTTTTGCTGGAATCATCAAAGCAAGGTGCTTTCTCACAGAACCTCCAGTCATACTGTTTGTTTATTCTACTTTCCATTTAATTCTGCATCAATTGTCTTTCCTGTGTTTGTCCTCATGGGAAAAGAAGGCGGCGCAAGCGATGCACAATACATCCCTCTTGTTAAGTTACTAATTTTCCCAAAAGCTTAAACTATTAGGAAATGGGCCCAACAATGTATATCAAGCTATCTAACACCCTCCCTCACGTGCAACCCCGTCTTACACGTGGAGAGAAACAAAGAAGTAAACAACCAAACAAAGAGAAAAAAACCAAACGGGGACGGAATACCAAATGCCAACGGAGAGACTTGAACCCAAGACCTCTCTCAACCTAAGTTCTGATACCATGTTAAGTTATCAATTTTCTCAAAAGCCTAAGCTATTAGGAAATGAGCCTAAGCTATTAGGAAATGGGCCCAAAAATGTATATCAAGCTATCTAACAACCATGGCAGAAAAAATTCTCTAAACAACCTATTTAAGTTCAATATCGATTAAGCTAACTACAAGTAAATTAGGCTCCTGATAGATAAATTCCATATACAGCCAATTTAAGGTGCAGACTAAATTAATTACATTCCGTTGAAAAAGGATAACAACGCCAAATCATGTGTTACGTCTCCTCTCATTTCTATATTGAACCTCAAAAATAATGGAGGAGTGTGGATGACAAAGACTGTAAGACACCAATAAAGCAACCATTTTGCATAAATTATAGCCAATATCAAGGATAGAAAACTCAACTCAACAAGTCTTAATCCACTATAATCCATCATCTCCAATTGGAATTTTGTAAAGCCATATCATTGGCCAAATTCAACTCAAGATTAGGAAGATAAAAAATAAAAAATAAAAAAAGAAAAGAAAAGAAAAGAAAAGAAAAAATTAAATATACAATGGTTGAAGTGCCAGAACAAGGCAGGTGTGTTAAAAATACTCTACTAACCAGAAGCTCTGACTCTCCTCCCCAGAAATCAGGCCGTCCAATGCGTTGGCAGTAACTACACATGGGTAGTTGTTAGAATAACATGAATCACAGCAACTAAAACTTGCAGAACTTTTTTTATATAAGCAAAACCAATAGAACTTTACAACCGGTGCCAAGTTAAAGGGCCTCACCGTTTCAAAGACTCCTCAACAGTGATTGCAACCAAGGCCTCTTCATACTGAAGGCGTTCTTTATCATTATCACATAGAACCTCCTTTACAGCCATTCTTAGTTCATCTGCAGTATGTGCCATAGTGAGTTGCCTACAAAAATCATGGCAATGCAACCACACAACTCTCAAAAAAGCATCTCTTTTGGGTGACTCTCAGTTGCACAAGATTGGAAATGATTTCCCATTAAATAAATAAAAAATAACATGTATAAAGCAAATCTAATAGGAAGGGGGGAAGAAAGAAGGGAAAATAAAATAACAAAAAGATAAGCCTAGTAATTTTTTAGTTGAACTGCTAAATGAGAGGCCTTTGGAGTTCCACAGATTCAATTACAAACACACACCATAAAACCTTGCTGCCTCATGTGGCTGAGTTCCTGTCTCACATGTGTTCGCTTTCAAATGATTTTAATCATCACATGCATGAATATTGTGGAAACCGAAAGGACCTAAATGCAAAAAAGTGAATTATGCAGGACTGCAATGCATACCTGCATTTTCTCTTTCTTCTCGCGGATTAAGTGCAATTCCCTTGTTGAAAGCCATTCCTTTGACCTGATTTCATAAAATTAGAAATGCAGTACTAACAGAAATAATGGAGAATTGTTGAGTTACTACAAATAATCCATAGAAGCTCATCACCAGGAGAGGAGAACTTCCACAAGTGGCAAAATGCATTTATTTACACCCAATAATGTTCTACATATATTTATGTCAATTAACTGAAGTTAGTGTAGCTTTAGTTGTAATATCTACACTGGATAAGCATTTGCTCACTGCAGGCATGTACATGCTTCTAGTTGTAATTAAAGTAACCTTTACATTACAATGTCATTTGTTAGTGGTTTTAAATAATTATAAAGAAACAAATAAAAACAAAACAAGGAATTAAGTGCCTCCGTTTCACAATCATATTTAAAAAAAATTCCTTTAATTGCTATTTTTTTCAATTAAGACCACCAATCATAACAAGCAAGTTAGTCAGCGGAATTAGTAAAAACTTTTAAGAGGTGTATAGTCAGGTTATGACTCCACTCTAGCTATGGCATCCCACATCTAAACATTATCATTATTACTATAAATGGGCATAAAACTACAAAAAAGCATTGCCGAAGCACCACCTAAATGGTGGGGGGCGGAGCAAACCATCAATACCAATGCACGAAATAGACAGCGTCCATCCCCGGTGACTTTCTGAACTGCATAGCGCTCCAGCTTCTTCATTGCTGGTGAAGCTCCACCTCTAGAAAACAAAATCATGGAGCGAAAAAGTTGTTACTAATCTAGACCACAAAATATGAAATCGAGGATTCATTATTATTTCAAGTAAATTTCAATCCAAGTGCTGATAACATATATATATATATATATAGTACGAAGTTAACAGCAAAAGAAAGCAAATCATATTACTAAAAAAGAGCAGTTTTTTCATGCATAATATTATGGAAATAACATCAAAATCTAAGCTTGGACGATGATTTACAGAGTGTAACAGTGATTTTCATAGACATAAAAGAAAACCAGAACTGTACTGAGCAAGTTTGATTTTCATTGCCCAAATAAATCAAAATTTGGAACTATGGTCTTCAATAATTGCTAAGAAATCGCAAAGTTATGAGATGGGTCAATTAGGTATTTGAAACATGGAACGATAACAATAAAAACCCATTACAAAAACCGGGTTTCAAATTTGGGTTTAGGGTTTTGAAAACTAAATAACAAAAGCTGTGTGGCCAAAGAGGGACTTACAGAGACGATCCGATTCTAGCGAAAAATCGATGAGTGTTATCGCTGAGAAGCGAGTTGGGACGGAGTCTGATAGGTGAGTTAGGCTTGTGACTCGATATTGAAAGAACTGGAGAGGAAACGAGTTCGAACTCAGCGAGTCCATGTTTCAATTGCTGAAGCAGAGTCTCTGTCAAAAGACTTTGATTGTTAGTACAGAGAAATGAAAAAGAAAACTTACATAGAAAATGAATGTATATATAGAAGTGAAGACTGAGTTACCATTGGAAAGCTTGCCCGCCATGAATGAAATCTGCAAAAAGCTTTAGCTACCCGCGAAGCAGAGAGCTAGCTGAGAGATAAGGGCTGAACCTGAAAGACGTCGTCGTTTCAAATTGCACACCATATCATTTCTTTATTTTAGACCTGCAAACATCATTTGTTTTATTTTATTCCGATATAAACTTTCAAACGAGCAAAATAAATTAATGAACGCAAAAAAATTATTTAAATATATATTTTGTTTAATTATTTACATTCAAATGATTACTTTTTATTCATAAATTTATATTCAAATATTTAATTTTTATAAAAAAACATTTATATTAAAACAATAAAAATAGTGTATAAATGGAATTATTCTTTCCTTTTGTTTTAGGATAAATTATACTTTATTCTTTTTATGTTTAATCACTTTTCACCTTGATTTAAAATTTATTTTTTCCTATTTTGACTCTTCATGTTTTAACTAAAATTAAATTATGTTTAAAATTAGACAAAAAATATCACGATAACTACTATATAATATATAATATATATTATTATATTAGAATTTGAGATGCGAGTTCTATATAATAAAATATTTTTATATAAAGTGATTGTCAATATTCATTTTGAGTCTAATTTTGAACATAAGTTAATTTTAGAAATAAATTAAAAAAAAACTTGAAACACATAAAACCAAAGCGAGAAAATATAAAATTTAAACGTCAAAAAAAAAAAAATAGCCAAATAAAATGGGGACAAAATGTAATTTAATCTTGGGCAAATTACACAAATAGTCCCTATAGTTTGGGACTTGTGTCACTTTGGTTCCTGACTTTTTAATTGTGACACATTTGTCCCTAAATTTTGAATCTTGTTCCAAATAAGGACAATTGAAAATATCATTAGATTTTTCAAGGGTAAAATTGTCAATTTGATAAAATATAAACTAATTTGATAAAAATAAATGTCAAAAAAATATTTTTGAATTTTTAAAAATTATTTCTACCTACTAAAAATAAAATTATGTAAAAATGATAAATTTTTTAGACATTTATTTTTTTTTACCAAATTAATTTTTATTAAGTGTTTGGATGATGATCATGTAAAATTAATTTTAAAAAATTAATTATATAATTTTTATTAATTTTACATAATTTTATCATTGGTGGATAAAAATAATTTTTAAAATATTAAAAATATTTTTTTGACATTTATTTTTATCAAATTAGTTTATATTTTATCAAATTGACGATTTTACTCTTGAAAAATCTAATGATATTTTCAATTGTCCTTATTTGGAACAAAATTCAAAATTTAAGATTAAATGTGTCACAATTAAAAAGTCAAAAATCAAAATGACACAAGTCTCAAACTATAGGGACTATTAGTGTAATTAACGCTTTAATCTTTGTTTTATATTGGGTAAGCGTAAGTCACAAAAAGCCCAAAGGTTTGCATAATATACTTGTAATTACTTAAAATTTTAGAAGTTATATCCACTAGGCCAATGCAGCGTCATAACGGAGAATGAATTTTTTTCAAATGAGCACTTTTTCATTGTACCGTAAAATTTGTTTATTTTAGTAACATTTACAATTTTAACTTTTTTTTTTTTTGTAAGTAAATCATAAATTAAAGACAAAGGAATATAAATAAAAGGGGCATACCACAAATCCTACCAAACGCTATACAATAACGAAAGAAAAAACAAAAGACAAACGGGCAACACCATGGCACACCTATCCAAAAAAAGCAAGAGAAAATAGGCCCACCTGATAAACAGGACAAAACGTATAGAACAGAAATAATGCACCAAAATGATATGTTCATGGTAGCCTAAAGAAAAGAGAACAAATAACCCTACACAACCCGCTAAAGAAGTCCCCAAAAGCTTGAGAAGTTACTCAAGTTCTAAACAGATATATACATGTCACAAACCCAAAAACGTTTCTAGCAGCCATACACCAAATTTATCATACTTCCAAAATCTGATGCATAGACTACTTCCATGTATTCCAGCAATCACTAAGCCTAACACCATGCTTCCCCTAACCAGGTTGTGGAACTTTAAACAGGTTCAGGAGACTCATACAGACAATATGAGGACCATGAACACATGCCGCAACCACAAGAACCTGGTACAAAAAGGAGGCAAATAGATTTCCCTTGCACAGCCCGTAAAAGTAGGCAAAACCAGCAAAATTATACAGTTTGAATACAAGTGTTTTCCACAAATGGGTCCAAAAAAACACCAAATTGCATGCTACTAGCATCCAGAAAACCGTAGATTTGCCAACATCCACAGCAGTTGCAACACTCATCCACAAACTCGGATGATTAGTAAAACCTGTTCAAGTGTGAAGATAAATTGAGAACAACCAAACAGAGAACTACATATGCTTAGGATACAATAGTATGATATATATAATATGGGAACTAACATCACTCAACCCACAATATATAACCTCACACCACTTGGTAATAGATAGATAGCACACAATATGTAACCTTACAACACTCAACCCATATATATGGTCTCCACCATGCACTGGGAAACTGATTAGACACCTGCAAAAACAATAAGAAATATATATACAGATATATGTAAACATTAGAAGATTCTCTCACTTTGGATAGTAAGAGGGATAGTATTTGTTCCTCACAAACTCAACCCACAATGGTATATAGCAATCCTCACACCAATTACGAAGAGACTGTAACAATAACAAACAATTAGAAATACACAATATATACTCACTTCCACTCAACCCACATTTTCTGAACTCACAACACTCAAGCACCAGTTGCATCCACCAATAAATTATCCTTGACCTGATTTCAGGATAGAGTTTGGGAGTGTCACGACCCAAACCCGCCCCTGTAGGTTTAGCATCGTAACCGGCCAGTAATTCGTGGATTACCAAAGGCCTCTTAACAGATAAGCATATAATAAGGGGCTGCAGAGGCAATTATACAAAATAGACAAGGTCCAATGAGCTGTGATAACATACATGGGATAGAAGATTTCAAAACTTATATATACATAAGCATGTCAGTCGAAGGACACCAATATTTACAAACATTTACAAAAGTGTAATTCCCAGGACTCGACTTTACAAAACAGACAGAGACTAGCATAAGCACAAAAGCAGCCATGTAACTAGACTTCGATCGGAACCTCCTCGGGAGGCACAACGGTTGGCTGACAAAAACAGAAATGAAGGCCGCCCTGGTCACGCGCCGGCTCACTTACATACATAATATAAACTGTGAGCGAAAACTCAGTGAACAATAACAGAGTAAAGGGGTTTCAATGAATAAGTCCGTACAGATTCAGAAATCATAATTTAGTTTCGTATCAAATTCATAATTTGTCTAGATCGTATATAGAAATCATTAGGTATGCTTAAGTTTACGTGATACATCCATTAGCATTAACAGAGCAGATACAGAACAGATGCAGACACGTGAGGGTTACGAATAACCAGTTCCATAAAGGAACTTTCGGATCCGGGTAACAGAGAATAAACACGCTGAGCCCCATGATGGGGCCTCCGGTACGGGTAATAGAGTGCAGACAGATTAAGTTCCATGATGGAACCTCCGATACTGGGTAACAGCCAACAGATATCACATGATGCTAAGGATGTCACGAATACATATCAGAAATCGGACAATCATTCATTGTGCAGAACATAACATTTCAAAAAACGATTTTTTTTTCATCATACAGAAAATAAATAAGGTTGAACATAGCTTTACTATGTTATTACTCATAATTGGCCTTGCGACAGAAAGACGGAGCAGATTGGTCAACGGTATGCGGCACGTGACCTACATAACACATAACAGACGCACACTTGAAACACACGTTCTAATTGTACATAACTTACTTCGTTGGCTCTTAGTGTGTTTCTAACCTTTAATCCTCATTATGGAGTCTTAAACATGGCCTAGGAATGCCTAGGATGGAATGGGGATGCAAGAATGCATTGGAAAACATTTCTTAAAACTTGCTGAAAATGAGGTCTACGTTCGAGCATGGATTTCCTCGCTCGAGCGGACATGCAGACAATGAAGCTCTGCTCGAGCGTGGCTTTCCCTGCTCGGGTGGACTGTAAACTCTTTGAAAAAGTACTGAATGCATGATTTTCACGCTCGACGGGCGCCCGACCTACGCTCGAGCGTGAGACTCAGAACCTCGCTTGAGCGTGAATTCCCTCGCTCGAGCGGACTGTAAAACACACAAACTTCTGGGTATATGCATTTCACACTCGAGCATAAATCTCGACGCTCGAGCGGAGTGCATGTACTCAGAGTGCACACTTGAGGGTAAAGTCTCATGCTCGAGCATGGATCAAATTTCTGGAATTTCCAGATTTGATCACCAAGCTCAAATTCAACCCCAAATACAACAAACTCAATTTTCTGGGCCCCAAAACTTGAGAAAATACATGAAAACTCATAAAACAACATGTTTTGAAGATCATTTTACAAAATCGAAGCCCAGAAGTATGCCAATTGAGCAATATTCAACTGATCATTTTACAAAATCGAAGCCCAGAAGTATGCCAATTGAGCAATATTCAACTTGAAACTTGAAATTAATTCATGAACATAACATGCATGTACATTTTTAAGCTAAGGCTCTCCAAAACATGATCAAATGCTACTAAATAACATGAAACTCATCGTGTTTCCAAAATTAGAGTGAACTCAACACATGCATAAAGGAATTCTTGAAAACCAATCTTCAAAATGCTATGAAACATGCATGCATGCATGGATTGATCTACTTCCTTACTCCTTAAGCTTGATTCTCACATCTTATAGCTCAAATTACATGAATTCATGCATGAACGACTTAAATCCACAATTAAAAGAATGAATTTCCTACATTAAGTCTTGAATTCCAAGTATGCTAACTCAATTTGCAAATTCCCTTCAATTCTTCTAACTTCCAAAGCCAACTCTTGTTGAATCAAAACTTTTCTCCTACTCTCCCTCTCTCTCTCGGTTGGGTCTTGTGGATGGAGAAGAATGGTGAATCAAAGTGTATGAATTAATCCTCAAACAATACTTTTGAAAGTGGCCCACTAATGGCAGGAATGAAATAAACTCAAACTAATGTAATTTAACATTATTTATTCTAATTTAATCATTCCGAACCAAATTT